GGGCACATGTATAAGCAAGTAGGTGGGGTCGCCATGGGTTCTCCCCTAGGTGTCCTGTTTGCGAACTTCTACATGGGTACCATCGAGCAAAAAGTCTTAGTCGACATGAACTTGAAACCGGCCATATACTGCACGTATGTTGACGACATTTTTACACAGGTACCTGATGTCAGACATCTGCAGGAGCTGAAGGAGGCATTTGAGCAGAATTCGGTGTTGCGTTTCACTTATGAGATGGAGAAGGATGGGAAGCTGCCCTTTCTAGATGTACCAGTCATGGAAAGGAGTGGAGGTTTCCACACTGCAGTCTACACTAAGAAAACAAACATAGGAATGTGCCTAAATCCCAACAGTGACATCCCAGACAGGTACAAGAGGAGTGTTGTTAACGCTTATGTCGACCGTGCTCTCAGCCACAGCTTAGGATGGAAGCAAGTCGACGAAGAACTCTGTAGGGTAAGGCAGGTTCTAGTCAACAACGGCTTCTCCAATGGTTTCATTGAAGACATCATAAGAAGGAAAGTGAAACGCCATGCAACCTCTGAAGAGACAACTAATACAACACCTGTACCCCCCTATTAGACTATTTTACAGGAACTTCTTTTCCACAGCGCATAAAATGGAGGAAAGGGTCCTGAAAGATATTGTTAATAGAAACGTTATCCCTACAGACCAAAATCAGAAGATACAACTGACGATTTACTATAAAACCAAGAAAACGGCCAGCCTACTCATGAGAAACTCTCCAGACACAAAGCAGAACGCTTTAAAAGAGACCATCGTCGTCTATGCCTTCAAATGCCCTCTTGGGGGACTGTACGCCTCAAAAAACTCAGTATATAGGCAAGACAACAACATCTCTTTCCAGGCGATTAACGATGCATAAGCAACAGGGTTCCATTAAGGAATATATAATCTCTTTCCACAACCAAACCATCACCAGAGAAATCTTAGCAAACAACACAGAAATCATTGATAGATACAGCGATAGCAGGCGGCTTGACATCTGCGAGGCACTACACATCAAGAAGTTAACACCAGCAATCAGCAGCCAATTAATGCACAACTATATTCTACCCACTTCAAGACTCCGCTCCAATATAGAAGCATCAAGATATATGGGTCAATAGGCCCTCTGCAATTACTTCCATTCTTACCTTCAATACCCATTGTTTCGTGTTCTATCCTGTGTTGAAAGTTTTGTTCACCTCATCCAAAACTGTTGTAACATATCACCTCACCCAAAATGTGGGTATAAAATGAAAAATGAAAGCTGTTTAAATCATAGCATAAGCCTTTTTTATTACCATCTATGCTAATATGACTTGGTATCCAATTTAGGGGTGATTGACGGCCCTAGATTGTGTACTTCTTTTTCTGTATGTAGGATTTATGTGATGGATTTAATAATATTTCTGTGCTGGCTGGATAACAATGCCTAGAGCGTAGATTTAGAGTCAGAATGAATGATGACATAATTTAAATGATTTTCAATTGCATAATTTATGTCCTGTTTCAGGGCATATAATTCTTCTTGAAATGTTGAGCACCTACTATTTATGCTTCAGCAAACTTCGTGGTTGTTATTGTAAACTGCTGCTCCAGCAGTATCTCTTTCTTGATCAACTGATCCATCTGTGACGAAGTGAGTGGTTGTTGGTCTTGAGATGGTTTCCATTTGTTGTTCTATGACTGCTTTGAGCCTCTGTAAGTCACATGCTGATTTCTGTAACAGGTAATCCTTCAATGATACAATGATAATCTTTAGACTCGATTCTTTCCATGGAGGTGGCTGCTGAAAGTGTTGATATAGTATATCTTCTAATTTGTTTTTAATGGTCCGTTTCAAGTCCACTTTCTTTAGAATCTTGACCAGATTATCCATCCATGCACTTCTTCAATATTGAAGGTTTCTGTGAAGCGATCTGTGTATGCTATCTTTGATTAACAGTCTGGCAGTAGTTCCAACAAGTTTTGGTGTTATGGTGGCTATCCTTTGTTTGATGCTGTTTTCTAAGGCTGGTAAGTGTGTTTCCATTCCTAGATTTTCTGGACTCGTCTATATAAGTGCTCCCAGCATTGTTCTGAGGGCATCATTTTGTGACACTTCCAGTCCCTCCCATTGGTTATCACTGAGGGACGCAAGAGCAAGAGCAGCATAGTCACCTAACTGCTTGAACGTAATACATTGTGAGTACTGGTAGAGATGCACCATCTCTATGACTTGTTAGGGAGTGTAAAGCTGAGATTCTGACTTTGCAACGTTCACGAAGATATTCAATTTCTTTAGTGAATTGCAACTGGCTGTCCATTATGACTCCAAGGTATTGAAAGAATGTAACCCACTCAATGAATTGTTCTTGTATTGCGAGTTCTCATTTTATCGGTCATTGCTTTGGTTTTATTACTCTTTATTTTCTCTGCTTATGAGGTCTAGTCATTTTTGTGCATGATTCCTGGCACCTTTGCTATTGATAATGACCACAAAATTGTCTGCATAGTTAAGCAGCTTGGTTTTTGGCAACTTGAGCTTCATAAATTAACAACTTTATAGACAATTTCTCTGTTAAGCAGACTTCATTTGGCAAAGGCAAGAGCGTGTCCTTTGATTTCCTTATCCACCAGGCAGCACAGAGTAGCTCGAGCATTGGCTAGCTCGAACATTTTTTCTGGGTCTAGAAAAATAAGGATTTCTGGTTTGTCATTGATTTGACGCAGGAAGACATTTTCTGTAAGCAAACCTATTTTGTTGCAGTAGATTGGCTTTTCATTCAATTCGACTGAGAGCCAAGAATTCAAGAAGATTTGAGATTCAAGAATGCTTCTTCACCCTTTTCTGCTAGCTTGGCCAGCATGTTGTAAGTGATCTTATCCTCACCTGGAGCTGTGTTTTTAGTTTTCGTTGTAGCTCTTCTTCCACAGAGGTGGTTGAGGCCTTAGGGACAAATTAACTGACTTATTGGGAAAGAGGAGAGATCAGGTGGGGTTATGTCAGTGAGGTGAAGATTATATATGTATGAATGTGAACTTGAAGAATCATCATCACGAAAAAACTCGCACACCTCAACAAAGCCCATCTACAACAGAGAGTAGCAAAGATTTCGCCCTCTGCAATATGATATCTTCAGGCCACCAAGTTAGACAGGCTAAATATCCACAGATAAATAGCAGTTCGGTCATATAGACTACGTCTAGCTTACAGATGCAACTGGGAAATTGGTGAACCCAGAGAGAATGCATCTTCTGCCAAACAATCACAGAAAAACCACTACTTCACTATATCCTGGAATGTGAAGCAACCAACGTCCTTAGAAGAATTTTAAGCGTCCCTGAATCTTCCGGTAACCACACTGAAGGCATCAACACTGCCACTCTACTGGTCAAAAAAAGTGTCCAGTAGCTGGACATCCTCATAAATACTGTCCAGCAGTATTCCCCTCCCATGACAGGGGACCGACGATTTAAATGCGACCTCAGCACACAGTATACAAGCATTCAAAAAATCTTCCTCTTTCGGGCTATTAATGCCCGTCTCACCTCTTGGGTGGCTTAATCTTCATCAATCATTGAATCAAGAAACTTGCTACAATGCCGTAATAGAAACAATTGCGGATTCTTTGGAGACAGTAAATTGGCAAAAAATCTTTTAGTAAAGTAGATCCGATTAACTGTAAAATTATTCTTAAGGAAGCGAAACTAACTAATCTCGTTAATTCACATAAGCACAGACCCTGTGATGTACAGAGTAAGGATAGTGATTCCGCAGAGCCCTGGAAACAATTCTCAGAAATGAGGATAATTCAGTATTATTTTCAAACTTAAACATCCCTTGGCGAGTCCCTGGGGGAACATAATCACGACGACATCTAGTGATGGACGCAGAGTGTAGCACTTAACCAGAATTATAAACGTAAACTCCTGGAATGTTATTCAGAATCTTGTATAAAGGACTTTGAGAGATAATGTAGAATACATCCAAAAAGTTGTTTTTTAATACACTTACACTTATATATTGGTTCTTTACTTCACCTTCATTCAAGCACTACAGCATGATTGCTGTAGTGCAACATTCAGGGGACCATTGTTGTAAGTTTCTCCATTATTTTTAGGGTAATTAACATATGAAAAGGGTTAACAGTGTCAAGTCTCCTTCATTCCTTTCGATTGTATTATACATCTTGCTAAGTTTACATGGAATCCCTAAAAACAAAATCCTTCTTTAGCATCTTCCTCATACTGTAAAATATATTCGTTTTATACATAATCATCGCATCATGCTATTTCAACGTAAACAGTTTTATAAAAGAATGAATTTGAACTTTCCATGCAGTTTTGTATAGTAAGAGGTGACTCCTCTCCTTCTATAAAAACACTCTCATACACTTGATCAAGATTTAAGAAATCATAGAGAAAGTAAAGAAATGACCTCATTTGTACTCTCACCTTGAAAATGGGACGAAACGAGGAAGTCATTAAGTAATTTATTCGAGCATTATATGGATATGTAGCCAGCAAGTCCTTGAATATGTTGGTCTATACATCAGAGTCTATCCTAACATACAATACCATATATCCTTCACTGGCAAATGCAGAAATCAAGCGAGTAAGAACATAACAAAAAATGCGAAATCATTACAGAACCAGAGAGCAGCTCACTTTCCCAACAAGACATACATCAACCCATAAAACCAACACCTGCAATAATGACATTATTCTTCCAATTTACCGAGTGGAACTCTTGCACAATAACAATACTTCTCCTTTGCATAAAGTTGAGAAGTAATAATAATGGATTTATTAGTATTGAAATTGACTTTATTAGTAAAAAATATATATTTTTGTCTCCGTGACAAAGCGATCCATCCTGATGCTTGGATGTAACTCGACACTGACAGTCTAAGGCTGCCATGGCAGCCTTATAGACTACTAGTAATTGTGTAAACCAAAACAGAGGACATTATGAGGAGAGTTAACAGAGTACAAACACCCTCACCACGTACCAGGAAGAGCAGGAGCGGTACCAGCAGCACGGACGCCAGCACTGACGCCCACACCTCGTCCGTCAAAGGCTCATAGAGGCTTTGCCAGTTTGATCTTAGGGACGGCTTGGCCATTACAAAGCAAGCCGGATCGTGCTCATAGATATATGTGAAGTCATAAATGAGCTGGCGCTGTGGTAGTACCGCGTGCAGGACCGTAGCCATGAAGGAGATCCTATCCACTACCAAGCTTGTCACCTGGGAGTACCGTATATGCATTTTTTTATAAAGACGAAAAAATATGTGGTAATTTATGATATGAACAAATAATTTTGACGGTCCATTTAAAAAAAATCCACTTGGATATCTTTAGGGTAATCACCAGTAGGTTCTCATAAAAACAAAAATTATCTGAATCGACCGGAAATGTTTGATGAAGATAAACTTGGGGTTGGAATACATGTATTATGAATGCAGAATACCACAGTATTTATTTTGTAACGCAGGGGCAACACCGAAGCTAAACTGGGACGTCAACATACCTGGTCCCAGGAAGTTACAGGAAGGACAATAAAAGTGAAGTTGAGGGCTTCAGCTATGGTGATAAGGAGCTTGGCGTCGCTGCCAGAGTACCTGGTGGAACTAGAACTATCTTGTTCCACCTCCGCCTCAGTCCAGTAAGGTCGGTATGGCAGTGCGGTCACGTTTACTGAGGCTCCGTAAAAGCTGATAGAATATTTTTGTTTCGTAAATTCTAGATGGTATTATGTACATATTACATTAAAAATATAATCTTTACTAATTTCGTAACTACTCAATACTGTAAATTCGACGAGTAAATATTCTAAAGTTTAATGGTCGTGAGATCCACTCTGTCCTCTGGTCCCCTCAGCTGTAGTGCGTGCCCACAGGCATTCAAACTTACCTAAATTATAGTAGTGTAAAAGGAGACACATGGGGAATAAATTTTTTCAGAAACGGTTGGGCACTTCCATGCCAACTCGACTCCCGGGGGCCAGATCGTGAAAATCTTTTTCAAGCAGTTGGGCCAGGACGCGCTGGGCGCGCACCTGGCTGGCTGGCTGGGTGGGGTGGTGGTCTGTTCCCCCCCAGGGGTACCAGGGCCCACCACCCAGGATGTACCTGAGGAACTGATGCCCTATCCTAACCTGTTTTTTCTCGTGCTTTTAAGATGAGTCTAAGGCATCAAGAAGGGGGTCCCCTACTTATGAATGGATCAGTGGGTGCATGTTCAATAGATTCAAACCAAAAAATACACTGGTGTAAGGCATATAAACGTTTTTGGAGTATTTAATAGCATGAGCAAAAATTCACGATTTGGCCCGTGGGTGTTACGAGAGTACTACGGTATCAATTTGGGGTCCCTTACTTTTGAATGGATCAGAGGGTGAATGTTCAATAGATTCAAACCAAAAAACCCAGTTGAAAGAGAATATAGAAGTTTTTGGAGTACTTTAATGATGCTATGACTGAATAGTATAGGGAGCCCTTGGCACAGCTCCATTTTCTGTAATGGTCAGAGGTGAGCGGTGAGAACAGGGCGCGATTTTCAACCCGTTCTCGCAAATTCGTAAAGTCAATATTGACTTATTAACTACGTGCATAGGTGATATACTAAACATAATAGATACCCTTAAAAAGATTCATAGAAAACACCGACCTTACCTAACCTTGTTAGTATCTTAAGATAAGCATCTTATTGCTTCGTAATTACAATTATTACTTAACCTATACCTATTATAGGTTAGGTAATAATTGTAATTACGAAGCAATAAGATGCTTATCTTAAGATACTAACAAGGTTAGGTAAGGTCGGTGTTTTCTATGAATCTTTTTAAGGGTATCTATTATGTTAAGTATGTCACCTATGCACATATTTAATAAGTCAATATTGACTTATTTAATTTGCGAGAACGGGTTGCGATTTTTATGACCAATCAGGAGCCGAGTAGAAAAAATTCTCTTTACGTCCCGGGTCATGGGCCAATCAGGTGAAATTTTCCTTATTTGTCACAGGGGTGTCACGTGACATGACGTCAGCAATAGGGACCCTCTACCTATGATTACCCCAGTGGGGTCAAGCATACAAGGGGGAGGGGGTCAAGATTCTTTACAAAGACCAAGTTGGATATTTAGGTGTAGTAAGCCTTATCTTGAATTTGCATGATAATGTGGGGTACATTGACATGAAGAGCGAATCATAGAGCAGGATCTGCATGTGAGATGGGTCATATTAGGGTTTTAAAGAAGTTAAGATAGCTTTAAAGAGTCCTGTGTGCTTGATGGTGGGTAAATGTTCAGTCAATAATTCTCGTGTTTTTAATCTGAATGAGGGGTCCTAGTTTGCGTTCTAGTCGTAAAATGAGCTCCTTAGTATATTTGCTATGGAAAAAGAGCTTTCAGTACTCTATATAATTTGAAATGAGGTCAAGAAAGACATGTTTATGTGCGAGAGGAGTCAGGTTGTAAACTGTTTATTCCAGTCATCCCCCCTTGGCTTTGCTCTGTTTTCTGTAGCCAAAGTAAAGATTCCATTTTCTGTGGCCTTCAGTTGATTACTGGTGAAAAAGGCATGCTTGCATTTGTATGGTTCTAACCTGTTTATAGATTTTATAGATATATTTGTCGGGCCTCAAATTAGATTTTTAATATGAAAAATAGCATCAAATGTATGTCTATCCTTTGTAATAAACGTTACAACCATTAACATTACCTATGATATTTCATAGAATACAAAAAGAATGCTAAATAGTGGGGCCTCAGCCATATTGTGTTGGGTTTGACACTCCAAACATTAATTTGACACTCGTAAATATACTATGCAGGAGAGTAGTTAAGTGGTTTAAGCAATAAATATATATTAGGAATCTGTTCATATTCCGTATTAAATTGCATCTTTTAACATCATGATAGTTCGCAGATATTGTGGTGGGGGCCCCAGTAACTTCATATAACGCTTCAACTGGCACTATCTGTTGCTATGAAATGCTTTTTGCTATCATGCCTAAAAATTTAAAAGTAGAATCCATCAGTTACTTTTTTTTATGTCAGTGGTGGTATATCAAGCGCAAAGGGTTTTAGAAAATGTTAGACCTCCACCTTTCAAAAATTGAAAGGATGAATTTATTTTGGCATTACCTTCATTACTTTGGAAGTTTTCAATGATAGCACATGCTTAAACAAACTCGCTCGCAAAAACAAACTCATTTTTTTTTGGTTCAACTTACACAAATAAACACGGGCTTTGCACATTCACACAAAAAAAATGCTTAGTCCCCCTAGACTTGAACACTCACATTCTTCCGTGCTTTAATTGCCAAAGCCTTCCAAACCTGCACTGGGTCGTTAGTCATACATAGAATCAGGGAGAAAAATATCTGCTTCAAAATATAAAAAAAAAAAATAATACAACTCTTGAATAAATAGTCCAACCACTTGGATTGGACGGTAGAGCGACGGCCTTACTTCATGCAGGTCGGCGTTCAATCCCCTGACCATCCAAGTGGTTGGGCCATCCTTCCTTCCTCCCATCTTATTCCCAAATCCTTACCCTGACTCCTTCCCAGTGCTACATGGTCGTAATGGCTTGGTGCTTTCTCCTGATAGTTCCATTCCATTCTTGACTAAATAACTAGCATTAAGTTTTAAGTCAATCTAATATCCCTATCTCACGGCCCCCCAGAACTCTGCACTGCCCTCCAACAAATCCCAAAGCCTTGCAAGAGCCCACTCCAGTCACTCACGTGGCAATAGACATGTTTTTTGCCCAACTGTATTTATCTAAAATAATACGTCAGATAGAAAGAGTTTCGCATTGCTATTATCTTTACCTTATAAAGCCTTTCTATAAAAATGATATGCCACTGCGTATTATGATTGATTTATATTGAATATTGCATAAATACTTACGCGATTTCATAAAAAAATATTTTAATGAGCCAGGTTTGGAAGGCTTTGGTTTTAAATTATCACTTACTTCTTGTTTTAATAAATAATAAAATTATTAAGATTGACAAAGATTTACTCCTGAAATACATTGTCTTTTAAGACTTTTATGTGCTATAAAGTAGTTGAGATTTTCAATACTTAGAGTACCAATCGTTAAAGTTTTTTTTCCATCACAGAGAAAATCTTTTCTTTCTCCCACATGTTTCATCATTTGCACTGGATGCAGAGCAACCTTCGTGCAAGTCCTGGCTCAGTTCCCCAACGTCCAAACTATTGGACATTGCAAATTTCACTAAATGATGCGGTATCTTAGTTGCCCTCCTCTAATTATAGAGATTTTACTCTCTAAACATTTGAGTGCCAAGAACAACTCTCGTGCAGGCCCGTGTTCAGTTCCCGACGTTCAAGCTTTTTGCTAAAGTAAATGTCTCTAAATGAGGCCTTATCTCGCCCTGACCAACTGTTTTTGGCTCAATTGTAACCCATCCAGCCGCAGTCTGCTGGATAGAAGGGCAGTGGGCCTGATAAAAAATAAAAACATAAATTGTTAGATCAGCCTCTAAATGAAGCCGTATCTTGCCCTGACCAACTGTTTTTAGCTCAATTGTAACCCATCCAGCCGAAGTCTGCTGGATAGAGGGGCAGTGGGCCTGATAAAAATAAAAACATATAAATTGTTAGACTAGCTCTTTACATATGCTAGTTGCTTTATTTAGAAACTGCTACTAATGCGATGATGCAAGAGGAGCCAGTACACATCTATGGATCAACCAATAAAAGCAGCAGACTTCTAGATGTTACTACTGCTCAGCTTAGCCCCCCACTGGATGGGCGGCGGTGCGCAAGAAAAACAGATAAATTATGACACTAGCTCGCCACATATCCCAGTCTTGGTTTTAATTTAGAAACTGCACTTGCGGTCTTTCTCGTGCCCCATTGTTTATGTGTGACAATGACCATTGGATTTTTCAGAACTAGCTCATTAAGATTGCGAAAACTTGCTTTAGCTAAATAAATTGTGTAGGTTCTGACTCTGAGGCCCATTATGCATCGCTGCAGCCCTTTCCACTATTGCCCACAAGATGGGATTGATTGATTGATGAAGATTAAGCCACCCAAAAGGTAGCACGGGCATGAATAGCCCGTACGTGGTGGCCCTTTTGAGCCATTACCAGTATCAATAGCTGATACTGGAGATCTGTGGAGGTGCGACTGCACCTTGCGTGATGGGTGATGTCTCCCCCGTGGCAAGATGGGAATAGGGGCTGCATTAATAAATGAATTAAAACTAACATTCAATTATATATTCTCAAACTTATGCAACAAAAAAAAACTTTACAATCACATTTGCAGACTTGCACAAATTAATATTGTCAATTTTGTTTACCCATTTTTTGCTTGTTTTTCTTGCTTGAGCCAAAATGAATTGTTGGGTTCATTGCCAGAGTACATTTCCCGCCGTGGTAACCCTTCCCACTACCCGCCCCACAAGATGGGTATGGGATTCATAATAAATGAACTAAACTAGCATTCAATTATATTCTCAACAAACTTATGCAAACCCCATACAATTACATTAGCAAGCTAACACAAATTCATTGAGCAAATTTAACTATTCGCATACTTTGTGTCATTATATAATGGAATACGAAAAAGAAATTCGCAGAATTCAGAGATAACACCATCAATGGAGTCCAAGAAATACGCATGTATTTCATTCATAATGATGCGCTGCCAGGAATCTTAGCAAAGTAACCAAAATATTTGCGTACTGTATGTATGTGA